CCTCCTCTCTCTCTCTCTCTATATATATATATAAGGATTATTCTTTGCATTACAGAACAGAAGCTGCCTTTAACAACCTGCTGATCGACCGCTGGCTGGAGTACCACACCAGAAACTACACCAAATGTCTTGGAAGTCAATCCAACGAAAAATCTCCGCTAACCCTAAATGATTTACAAGCTGTTTTTACATGGTGGATCGCAGGGATATCAGCTGCCTTCTTTGTGATGTGCATCGAGTTTGGATGGGCGAAAATAAAAAAACTGACAGTATGCTGTTACAAGCAGTAATTGGAAGGAGACACAAGACAGTAGTTTGTATCACGGAATTTACATGTCAGCAACTACGATTTCAAGTTTCACTACTTTCTGGAACGCAATTACGTGCACAATGTAAAACAGTACTTAATATACAGTAACTAGTCAAAAAAAAAGTATTTTCTAACATTTGTTTTATAATTTTCGTGCAAAGCTACATAAGGGTTGTCTGTGCATTGTCATCCCTAATTTTAAATTAATGTTTTTTTAGGAACCATTGTTTAAGACTGTGCGATTTACTTGTCACAACAACTAACTGTTGCACAGTTTTTGCTTGCCCACAGCTCGACGAAATCTTTTAGACCAAGCTTGACTTAATGGTTAGTCTTACACCGTGAAACTCGAGAGTGGAGTAAAATATTGAGCAAATAGCTTGGACGCCATGATGGATTTAGCACTCTGCTGAGAATGGTAATGGTAACTAGGAGAATTGAACACTCGTGTAGCACGCTAAATAGTAAATTGTTCAGCATATATGTGTGTGCTGTAACGTGTTAACCTATTGTGAATCTCTCTGTAAACTTTTCATGTTTCAACAAATAAAAATAAATGTCCTTTCTTTGGGCCTCCTCTAGTGGTTAAATCTGCCATACTTTGAATCCGAAGATCATTTTTTCGCACCTCTTTGGTACAATTTGGGGGTCATGATTAAGTCATAAAGAATGACAGAGATACCCAGTATTCGATTTGAGTACAACCCATGAGTTGCCCGTGGCTATCTGCTTGCCCTCTAATTTATCTGCTCGAAATTAGGGACTGGTATGCGCACAAAATAATAAAATTTGAAATAAACAAATTTTTGTTTGGAGTACAAGATATACAAAAACTACAAATGTCACAGTTGCATTTTCTTTTACACTTGGTTTAGTGAAAAAAATAAAAGAGGTTTCTATAAAGACTCAACCAACAATTAATTTAGTAAACAGCAAAATAATTGGTTTAATATAAAAAAAATCCGAGATGTTCCGAGCTAAAACATTTTAAATAACCTGAATTTAAAAAAAAATGAATTTATTCAATCATCATGTGTTTATTATATTTACCTTGCTAGTCAACTAACGTCTTAATTTTCCAAAACTTTTCACCATAAACATGGAATATTCTTTAAACTACCCTGGCGGTCAATAGGCTTACTGTGTATCATTGAAAATAATAACCACCGTTATATTTATTAAGATATCCCATTATCTTTAACCTGGTTGAAAACTTATAATTATTCCGATAAAATCCATGTTCAGCTAAACTTGATGAAACTGGTAGCATATAATTTGTTATAGTTCCATTTACAAAACTGGGAGAAACTTTTCTGGAGCTCTTCCTGATGCATTCCCCATTGTCTTTATCGGTGAATTTCTGGAGCTCTTCCTGATGCATTCCCCATTGCCTTTATCGGTGATTTTCTGGAGCTCTTCCTGAAATTCACCAATAAAGACAATGGGGAATGCATCAGGAAGGGCTCCAGAAAATCACAGATAAAGACAATGGGGAATGCATCAGGAATGGCTCCAGAAAATCACCGATAAAGACAATGGGGAATGCATCTGGAGCCCTTCCTGATGCATTCCCCATTGTCTTTATCTGAGATTTTCTGGAGCTCTTCCTGATGCATTCCCCATTGTCTTTATCCATGATAATGCGATTGTCAAATTATTTCTACACCTCCTCTTCTAAGCTCTTCATCATTATAACGCTCCTTTCCTGCGACAACTCATTAACATGGCCTAATATAGCATTGGAGAGGTCATCTTGAAATTATCTTATATCGATGGAGGTCATCACACTACCGTTAATGGTTGTTTTGAACATTCTCCCAAAGATATACAAGGGCTATCTGGACTAATCTTTCCTAATATTTTACTAATAGATTACCAGTCAACAGCACCCATCACTAATTCTTGGGTTACTTTAATTTAATAGTGGGAATTGACCACCTTTCTTATACACCATCCAGGGCGGAATGCGATTTTGCTGCAATAGGACGCGAACCATGGATCTTGGGTACAGTGTATAGACAGGGATCGTCTCACTATCCAAAAGTAACACAGGGAAAGGTCAATTGTAAGACACATAGGTGCCACCGGGAGGTCAAGATTAGAAAAATATGTTAAACATCCATTGCTTATTACTTGATCTGCTATTGCGATAATAATTCTTCTACCATCATCTGTAACTTTGTTGTGTACATGAACACTTCTACCATCATCTGTAACTTTGTCGTGTACATGAACACTTTTACCATCATCTGTAACATTGTCGTGTACATGAGCACTTTTACCATCATCTGTAACATTGTCACGTACATGAGCACTTTTACCATCATCTGTAACATTGTCACGTACATGAACACTTTTACCATTATCTGTAACTTTGTCGTGTACATGAACACTTCTACTATCATCTGTAACTTTGTCATGTACATGAACGCTTCTACCATAATCTGTAACTTTGTCGTGTACATGAACACTTTTACCATTATCTGGGAAATCTCTAATGTAAATCAATGTCAAATTTGGGGTCCACTTTTGTGGAATACTAAAACTTTTTTTTCACGAAATACACGGGTTTCCTAAAGGGTGAATAAAAGGTTTTACCTTTGTACAAACCTCAGGACTGAGATGATCCAAATCCGTATAATTCACAATCCACCAGTTTCAAAGGAGTTACGTGAAACACACACACAAGACACCGAATATATCATATAGATAACTTTCTCACAATTTTTTTCAGAATAGCAAATAACACAAGTTGTAAACTTCATCAAACAAACAAATTAGAATTGGTATTGTAAAACCTAAATTTCACCTTATTGGACACAAGGATTAAATGACCACGTTAATCTCCTAAAATTCAGGCACAAGCATATGTACTTTATAACAACTGACCACAGAGAGAACGGTCAGTCATAGCAACATCTTCCACCTGTGCATTTACTCTTAACTGCATAGTGGGGTCAACTGTCATGGTGATAATACACAGTTACACACACAGAGCCAAAAGTGGGTGCACATCGAGTGACACATTGTGGCTAAAACCTTGTGATCTGCAACCAGGCATGCTCACCAGTAGGCCACACCCAGACTTCAGACAAAGTAGTAATATATTTATTAATATTAATTATATTCTATTTTTATATTATAGAAATTCATTCATCAAGTTCTTTGAAAAGGAGATGTTACATACTCTTCCCAAAATATTATCAATTTTCTATTATCTATAAAACATCAAATAATTACAAAATACGTGCTTTGGCTGTCACTTAATTTCCACATTCAGAATAATTTTAATAAAATGTTTTTCAGCCTTCCTGTAAATTCTATTCACAACATGATGCAAAATGTAATTTTGACATCGTAACTTTTAAAAATGTGCCCGATTATTATAGTGTTAAAATAATTTTGAGCTTCCTACAATTACCCGATATTTCTCATTATTACATGTTTTGTTAAATCACACATTGAAACTGAATTCAGAGCAAAAAAAAAAATTTAATGCAATATCAAATGAAGTGTACAATGTAGCTGGTAAAGCTTTTTATACAATTTATCTTGAAGTTACGTTATCACTCTTAAGTGAATGAAAAGCATCAGCTAACAGAAAACAATAATTAGTTTTCTGAAGTGGAAACATGATGATGATGTCATGTAAATTTACACTTGGAAAAGTCCATCTCAGGATGTTGTTTCATAAACCTGAAAATATAAAAAATTGTGAAAAAACACAGTGTGGCTTTCAAAACTGGAAAACCAGTTAGGCTTAGAATACATACAAAACCTTATAATCGTCATTAATCCCCAAAACACAACAGAAACATTATATCAAGTCATTAATTCCTAGTTGCAATTACAAAAAATTCAACATTTAAACCTGATCACAATCACAGGTATGGAAGAAATGAACCAATATTAATTAAAATAAAACCTTATTTATGATTCCTCCAACTGTCCAGGAATCAAAATAGTGACATCCACGATTTTGATTTTTACACTAATCACTACTCTAATATTGACTGAATTAATAATAAGACTGTAAAAAAAAAGAAAAAGACTAATTCTTATATAAATCTCGAAGACATTCAACTTATAGTTAACTAGGAAGTATTTATATTTGTGCTATGCTCCATAAAGACAGAAAAAAAAAATATGAAAATTAAGGAAATTAATTGTGATATTCAGGTTCAGTGATGTACGCAAGTTTAGTATCAAGGTATGCAATAAACAGAAGGTTCAACAAATGATGTTCAAAGAATAAATTGAGCAGTAAAAGCACACCTGGAAACCACAAGAAAAAGTTGCTTATTCACAAAATGACTCATGTACTAGGATTTTAAGATACTGGCCTGCTTCTTGGTTGTTTGGAGAAATGTTGATATTAGACAAAAGACAACAGGAATATTCAAATCTTGTGTCTATACTACACTTTGAAACCACAAGAATATTCTGTGCTCAACAACAACAAAAATAAGAGGGTTGTGTCTATACTACAAGCACTTGGGTTTGTTTGTTTGTTTTTGAATTTCGCGCAAAGCTACATGTGGGCTATCTGCACTAGCCGTCCCTAATTTAGCAGTGTAAGACTAGAGGGAAGGCAGCTAGTCATCACCACCCACCGCCAACTCTTGGGCTACTTTTTTACCAATGAATAGTGGGATTGACCGTCACATTATAACACCCCCACGACCCTCAGATTGCGAGTCGAGCGCCCTAACCACCTGGCCAACAAGCACTTGTGAAAAAACAATACACAACCGAGCAGTGCGTGTATGACCACGATTACATAGCTCTTGGAAACGGACTTACTGGTCAACAAGTTAGAGATCTTATGCACACGCGAGTTTCTTCCACCACTGGCTGACCGATATGCCAGTCCTAGACTGACGGTGGATAAGATCAATTACTGAAACTAAGCTAACTACTTTACATGCAGTGACCAGTGTTTCTAACCTTGAACATTTCCTAATTAATCTGTCCAGGTCAACTTGCCGTCTAACACAAACTAAATATAATATGAATAAACAACTCAAATCATATATAATATTGCAAATAAATCCAATTATATTCATGCAGCCAACACAATAAATGTATGAAGTATAATGTCTGTGTATAATAACTACCTTTACATTTAATACCTTGATCAGCTTTTACATAGGAAATGTTATTTTAAG